AATCAACCTTGCCCCTTATCTCGACCCCTCGACCCCTTCTGGGGTGCGTTCCGACGCCCATTCCTCGAACCCTGCGGGCAAGATGTAAATGTCTATCAGCGGAAAGCCTCCCTTCCCCGGACACCCCAGGCGCAATGGATACGGAGAGAAATGTAGCTCCTGGAGGCTGGATTCTGATCAACATCCACTATGCCTCGGCCTTTTGGGGCCCATTCCCGAAAGGTCCAAGACCCATTGGATGTGGATGTAAATCCTACTCCCTGTCCAACCGATCCCCAGGCCACATAAGGCGAAGCCAGGACAAGGATAACATCGGGTGAATATAAATCGAGAATCCGCCGACCCCTTGTGGGTCTCTAGGCGTGTGAGATAGTTCCCCCCCCTATAGTCCCCCCCCCGGGACCCCAAACCGGCGATTTGACCCCCCCCCCCGGGCCCGGGACGAGCGCCCCCCCCGGGCCCGGGACGAGCGCCCCCCCCGGGCCCGGGACGAGCGCCGCCGGGGCTTTTCCGGGCCCCAGGAAGCCTCAAGACGGGCCAAGATGGCCCCAAGAGGCCTTCAAGACGGCCCACGGGAGCCCCGAGACGCCAAACGAGCGCTCCAAGACGCCCAAGATGGCTCAAAGACGGGCTAAGAGGCCTCCAAGACGGCCCAAGAGGTCCCCAAGAGGCCCCAAGAGGCCTCCAAGATGCGTCCCACGAGGGTCCCTAGACGCAAAAATTGGCCCATTCCCTTCGTAAAACGTACATTTTTCACGAATTCGCTTTTTGGGCTTTCCGACGCTCCCAGACGGCCCAAGAGGCCCTAAATACCGCCCCAAGACGGTCCAAGCAGCCTCCAGGGAAGCTCCAAGGCAGCCCAAGAGAGCCCCAAGACAGCCCAAGAGGCGCCCAAGATTGCCCAAGAGGGCCCCGAAGACGGCCCCAAGAGCGCTCCAGGAGCGCTTCAAGTGGCCTCCAAGAGAGCTCAATATGGTCACAGACGGTCGAAGAGCGATCAAAGACACCGACGATCGCCTCCAGACGGCCCAAGACGGCCCCAAGAGGCCCCAAGAGGCCTCCAAGATGCGTCCCAGGAGGGCCCCTCGGCGCAAAAATTGGCCCATTCCCTTCGTGAAACGTACATTTTTCACAAATTTGCCTTTTGAGCTTTCCGACGCTCCCAGACGGCCCTGGAGGCCTCCAATACAGCCCCAAGGTAGCCCAGAGGCGTTCGAGCCGGGGTCATCCGGGCTCCGGTGGATCCCGGCTCGAACGCCGCCGAGGGGAGCAAAGGGCCCGAAAACGAACCAAGAGCGCACCAAGGGGCCCCCGAGACGGTCAAGAAGGCCCCGAGTAGCCAAACCACCGTTCGAACACGCCCAAGATGGTCCCAAGACTGCCCAAGAGACCCCCAGGAGGGCCCCGGGGAGGAGGGAGAAAGAGGAAAGACGACGAGAAGGAGGGATCAGCTAAGCCCTTCGAGGTAACCCTCCGATCCGGCGCGGGAGCCGAAGGCAGCGCGCAGGCCAAAATGGCTGCGCGGTCACCTCGTGCTCAACCACCTCGTCCTAATCCACCCCATCCTGGTCCTCCCCCTCGCCATCCTCCCCAACCTCACCCTCCTCATCCTCCTCAACCTGATCCTCGACCTCCTCATCCTCTTCAATCTCATCCTCCTCATCCTCCTCCTCCTCCTCCTCCCTCTGCTCCTCCTCCACCTCCGACTACTCCTCTTCCGTTCTTTTTTACATGCGCTTTGCCATGCCTCTCAATCTTTTCTTCTGGCACTTGCCACTGCACTGTAACGCCTGGCAGCTACGAGCAGTGAAGGCGGAAACGCGGCGATAGCCGCCGGTACGAATCAAGGGGTCGGCGGATGTGGCGTGAGCCTGGAGAATCTCAAAGATCCAGCGGCTCAAGAGGATGTCTCGGGCGCCACGACCTTCTCAGAGCGTTCTGAAACGCTCTGAGATCGTTACCCTCTGGAATGGATTTATCGGCGTCGAGCGAGGGGGATGTGAGAAGGAGAAGGCCTTCTCAGAGTGTGGCGAGACTTGTCAGAAGCCCGTCCTCCTTCTGAAAACCTTCCTGTCTACGTGGAAGGCTCAGACCACTTCTCAGAAGGCGGGGAGACTTCCGAGCTTAACTTCCTGAAAAGGCCCATCCCTCCTCGCTTCCCCCCGTGGGCTCGCCGCCGACATACCTGCAAGCACGCTCCCCGGCGCAGAAAGAAGGTGCCTGGCAGGACGCTTCCCAGGTCGGCCCGAGGGTGCCTGCCAGGACCCTCCCCTGGGCACGACATGGCCAACAGCAGCGGCTGCTGCACAGAACCGGCAGCGGCCGCTGTTGGCCCGTTTGCCCTGTGTCTCGAAGACGGTCCTCGGCGACATCGGCAGCTGGTCCTGTGGAAGATGAGCAAACACGCCTGTCGACGCACGCATGCGTCCCGTTCCCATGCCGTTCGTGTCGAGCCCCTGCCACCACGTGAATCAGCCCAGGAAGATTCTGGCTCTCTAGAAAGAGGAGGGCTGCACACATAAGAACGTGCGAGGCAATGCGCGGAGTTCTCGGATAGGCACTGACGCGCCCTCCCTGTCGTGCGCAGCAAGGGGGCCCAGCGCCAACCCAAAATATCCGCGCAGAGCTCCGAAACTGGTCGACGCCTCCGAGAAATGAGGGCGAACAAAAAGACAGAATGAAAAAAGGGGGGGAGATCTAGAACGGCAGCGGTTGCGGAGGAGACCGTGCGACCGCTCCAGCTCCGCATCTCTGCAATACGATACGACATCTCCCAGCAGCGTCTGCTGCAAACGGGAGACGGCCAGCCTGCACATGTTTACATATGTATGTATGTATGGATATAGATATATATATATATACACATATATATATATACGCATACATAGGTATGTGTTGATATATTTGTGCTTATATTTATGCACATACACGTGTGTATGAGACGTGTCGCAGAGTGTATAAAGGCTCGAAAGGCGGGATCTGCCACAAAGACGCTGCGTAGCACGAGGAACGCTTGCAGCAAGCAGGGCGACTGAATAGAGACTGGTCGACCCCTCCCGATCCCCGCAGGTCGGGTTGGCCGTGAGACCGAACCGCCCAAACTTGTTACCCCCCTAAAGCGAAGACGGAGACCTAGGTGAGGCCACGTCGTCATCCTGAGATTCGGGTTAGGGTTTTTTGTGTTCAATAACTGTGCGCCTTAGCAGCCGCTTGGACGAAGATCGTGCCAAGAATCGGAATTGCTCAAGACGCGTTTCAGGACCTCCAGAAGATCTGGCGGCCATCGCTTGTGCAGCCCGTGTGGTACATCCGGAGGAAGCCTTGGGAATCCTGGAGATCTTGGAACGCGTTATTATCATGACACCTTGTTCCTCTGAGCTGCTGCTCACGGAGGCTTCCCAAATGGGGTCCGAGTAGATGGGGTCAAGGGATCGCGCCGCATCGCCGATGCATCGGCGATGCATCGGCGATGCACCGGCGATGCATCGCCGACGTCGGCGATGCATCGGCGACGTCGACGTGAAGCAAATCGGGCCCCACATCGAGCGGCATCGCCGATGCATCGCCGATGCGGCGCGATCCGCGTCGAATCGGTGTCGAATCCATGTCGAACTCGTCGGATCCGTGTCGAATCCGTGTCGAGTCCTCGTCGAATCCACGCCAAATCTGCGTCGGTTCCGCATCGAGTCCGCGCCGCACAGAAGAAAAGACACCAATTTCGGGGACACACACGAGGTCCCCTGAAAATACCACGTAACTGACCTCTTGCTGAGAGGCCTAGATCCTTCGTTGGTTCCCCGAGAAAACGGTGGAAAAAGTATACATTACACCAATCCGACATCGTCCCCGACACAAAAATAGCCTGGGATGGAAAAACGGCCCGCCACTGCTTATGTGCATGCTCCAGTTTCCGATTCTCATGCCAGAAATGTTCCAGTACAAAATCAGATCTGCGAGAAATGTGCGAATCACACTTCGTGCAGACCACAGGAGGTTCTTAGAGAACGTTCCTTGGCGGACCCAACAGGCAAGCCAGGACGCGTCGCAAGTGCTCGAACCATGATCATGACCTCTTGCTCCTCGGAGCTGGAATCGGCGATACATCGCCGATAGATCGGCGATAGGCCACCGATAGTGCATCCGTACCTCCCTGTGCAGGCTGGGGCCATGGGGCCCCTCATCGGCGATCAGTGGAGGACTGGCGGCCGATGAACCACCCCCTTCGCCTCTCCCCCCCTTTTGTTGCCCCTGAGTTCGGCGGTGGACACACCTCCCGTTAGTAAACCACCCTGTTGGGACAACGGCCTGGGGTCGACGGACCTGGACCCACGAAAACGACGGCCGCAACGCCCTCTCGCGAACCGAAAACGGCCAACTCGCTGATCGACTTGTCAGGGCAGGAGGTCCATCAACCCCCGATGACTGACCTCTTGTTGGAGGCCTGGAAGTGGGCAACAACACCAACACAGAGGGCTGCCCCCACTGGGGTAAGATGATCCTAGAGTTCGCTGTTGGCGGTAATCGTTCGGTTTCCTTGGAAGCCAGAATCTGGCCACCATCGCCGAGATCGGGATCCTCCCCCCCCGGGAGATGCACACCGCCGATATTGGTGTTGGTGTCAATCTCTACAGTCGGGGCATTGACCTAAGGAACCCTAAATAAGGAACGAGGCCCCTATGTCCCATAAAGTAACCTTCGGTTTCCCATCGAATACCTGAGGAAAACCCAAGGGAAGCCGCGAAACAATCAAGGAACACCGAGCCCCTCCCCAACGAAAAGGGTTCCTTCCTCAGCGCCCCGACTGTAGGCCCTCGACTCCTGCTCCCCTGGTCCCATTTTCCATGAGTTAAACTTCGATTTCAGATCGAAAACCTACGGAAAACCTAAGGCAAGCTGCGAAACAATTAATTAAGGAGAACCTAAGGAACACAATTGGTGTTGGTGCCAATCTCTGGGCCCTCGACTCCTTGCTCCCCTGGGCCGCGGCTCGGGCCCCGCGCCTCGTTCCACTCCTTCTCGCTGGCGCCCGCCACGCGGGCGCCGTCCTTGTCGCCGGCCGTGGAGGCCACGGCCCGCCTGGCCCCTCGGAGCAGGGCGGCGGCAGCCGCCGAATGGCCGCGGCGGCGGGGCCAAGGCAGCAGCGCGTGCAGCGAGCGCGGGGCCTCCTTTCCTCCGTCTTCTGCGAGGCTGCCTGCCGCCCATCCCTCCTCCGCTTCCTCGCTCCGCCTCCCGCCCCCTCCCTCCTCGCTCCTCGCAGCTCGCTGCTCGCTGCTCGCTGCTCGCTGCTCGCTGCTCGCTGCTCGCTCCTCCTCCTCCTCCTCCTCCTCCTCCTCCTCCTCCTCCTCCTCCTCCTCCTCCTCCTCCTCCGCCTCCTCTTCCTCCCCCTCATCCTGGCTCCTCCTCGCTCCTCCTCCACGCTCCTCCTCCTCCACCTCCTCCTGCTCCTCATCTCCTCATCCTCCTCCTCCTCCTCCTCTTCCTCGCTCCTCCTCCCTCCTCCTCCACCTCCTCCTCTCCTCCCCCTCCTCCTGCTCCTCCTCCTCCTCCTCCACGCTCCTCGCGCTCCTCCTCTTCCTTCTCCTCCTCTTCCTCCTCCCCTCCTGTTCCTCCTCCTCGTCCTCCTCCTTCTTCTCCTCCTCCTCCTCGTTCTCGTTCTCCTCCTCCTCCTCCTCCTCCTCCTCCTCCTCCTCCTCCTCCCCGTCCCTCCTCGTCCCTCCTTATCGACGTCAGAATGGTGGGGAGGCCGCAGGAAGCGCCGCGGAGGCCCCAAGCAGGCGCTCCAAGTGACGCAGGCCCGGTGGCGGGATGGGCCGCAGACCCCCCGATATCCCACCCTGCCTGCCGTTCGACGTACGTCCCCCGCACAGCCATCGTGCTACAGTTTTGGGCGCCCGAGGTGGGTACGAAGAACATTCGGGGATGGACAGACCCCCCTCGAAGAGGGCCGGGGCACCCTCGGGCCGGGAACACCTCGGGCAGCCCCCGGGGGATGAGGCCGCTGCCCACCTCCACGTGGGCGGGGTGGCCCTGGTACACCGCCAGATCCTCGCGGCCGCCCATGGTTCGGGGATGGACAGACCCCCCTCTAGTGAAACGTGGTTTAGTGAAAACGACCTGAGGCCCAAACCTGGCGGGCGCAAGCCTGGAAAATGACGGCCACGGCGCCCTCTCGAGAACCGAAAACGGACAATTCACTAATCGACGTGTCACTGTTGGGGGTTCTGTCCACCCCCGAAACATGGGTACGACCTTAGTGGGCCCTGGAAACGACAGGGCCGTTTTTCTTTCCAGGTTCTGCTCTGCCGTTTTTTTGTGCCGGTTCCGACGCCGTTTTTTGACCGGTTCCAGCTCCGGTTCCAATGCTGGAGCCGTTTTTGTTGCCGTTTCCGGTCGCAGTTTGTTTGCCGTTTCCATATTCAAAGGACGCTTTTTGGGAAACAATTAAAAAAACGGCCTTGCCATTTCCGGGGCCCACTAAGGGTACGACGCCCGTCAACAAATTTTGTCCCAAGCCGACAGCGGAGGCTGTTGGGTAAGCGGCCTTCTGTCTCAAATGGACAACGACCGTGGCGACGCCCACTGCGAACCCTGCTCAGAATGGACAAAAACAAATGTTGGACTCTGTACCTTAATTCGGATCTGTGGCGGACCCACGTCGGATCCACGCCAAATCCGCACCGAGCCCGCGTCGGGCACAAGGAAAGCCACAGATGTCAGGGACAGGCGAGGCCCCTCGAAGATGCAGCGCCCCCCGTCCGAGAAGTACCTCAAGCCTTCCCCGAGCACGCCATCGACCTGTCAGAAGGCGGGCCGACTTCTGAGGAGCCCCGACGACTTCTGAGAAGGCCTCCCCCTGGGGACACCCCAAGATACCGATACGGCTGCTCCCCGGACCTCTCCTGGGGTGCACTCTGACCAAAATCTCGACGCGCAGAAAGCGGCAGAAGAGCAGAGGTATGGGTACCTCTTCCTCCTCTGGCCTCCTTCTCGCTTGCCCCCCCGCTCGCCGCCGAGCATCGACGGCACATCACAAGGCGCTGCGACTCGCCCTGTGGCTCCCTTCTGTCGCTCTGCTGCCCCCCCCCCACCCCCACGCCCGCCCTGGCAGGCACTCGTCCTCGCAGGCATCCTCGGAGCCGCTCGTTTCTGGGTCGTGCCTCCTCGGCGGCGCACGCAGGGACCATCGCATCCCACCTCGCCCCGATGCACCAGTTGGACCAGTTCGCCTCCTCGTCCTCCAATTTCTCTCATGCTTCTGCCTCCTCCATATCTTTCTCCTCCCCATTACACGGATCAAGCCGCTCAAACGCCTCAGTGCCGCTCGCCGATGAAGTCAGAACAAACCGTTGGTCGGATTACCTACATGAGGTGCGGTGGTGTCCCATGGGTCCCATGGGGGTCTCAGGCTCGAGAGCTCCTTCAATCAACTCACCAACCAGGTTCCAGCCCATCGAGGACGAACGAATGCCATAAACCTGGATGTTTGGAGCTCCGCGCGAGTTTCTTGGATCGACGCTGTGGCCCCCATGGCTGCGCCTCCGGCACCGCCCCTGGCGCGCTCCCCGCGCCAGGGAGGGGTGTCCAGTGCCGCTCCAAAAAAAACGCGCGGACCTCCAGAAAGTGATGTTTACGTACGTTTGTTTTCTCCGAACTCGGGAGCCTACAAGTGACGAAACTTACAGCGCTCCGATGACCCCCTCGGGTTAGAAACATTAAACGGGGGCTTCTGGGTAGGGGCTCCCGACCGAGACTTCCTCCATATGCAATCGCAAACTAGGCTCCCGCTCGTAACTTCCTCAAAATTCATGCCTCAAGGATCCCTGAAAGTGACGACGGTTGCAATATTCAAATTGGCCCTTCAACGAAAACGAAAGGTGGGGACCCATAGGGAAGGGCTCCCGCTGGAGACTTCCCCGCAAAGCACTTAAAGACGAGGCAATCGATGGAGACTTCCTCAAGACTCACGCCTCAGGAGCCCAACAGTGGTGACGACAGGTCAGCGTTTTCTTATTCGGCGTTTCGACTTTGGGCGCAAGGGGGGGGGGAGGGGGGGTCTGGCTGTGGACCTCTGCCTAGTGCGACTGTCTGGAACAGGGCGTCCATTATGGGAGGGACTCCTCCTGCTCGAACCAGGCGCCAAAAACGGCAAAGATCTACTCCAGTGGGGGGGGGTGAGGAGGGGGTGCGAGGGCCCGCGCCGATCGGCAAAACAATGAATAAGAAAACGATCACCAGTTGCAGGATGGAGACGACCCTTCGGATTAGAAGCAAGCGGGGACTCCACAGGGAGAGGCTCCCGCTCGGGTCCTCCTCGCGACTCACTCCCTGACAAGAGGCTCCCGCTCGAGGCTTCCTCAGCACTCAAGCCGCAGAGGCAGAGGTGTTTTTCGACAGAGGTTGCTGATTTGACAAGCTACCAGACCACCCCAATCCAACCCGAAAACCAGAATTTCAGGCTGGGGGGGGTACGGGTTCCATTCGTGTCTCTGCTATGTTCCCCGACACCCCTAAACTGGAAACAAAGGGCAAATTGGGGCCTTCGGGTTTAGAGGCCTCCTAGATGGGGTCGGAATAGATGGGGTCGGAGGATCGCGCCGCATCGGCGATGCATCGGCGATGCATCGGCGATGCACGGGCGATGCATCAGCGACGCCGGCGATGCATCGGCGACGTCCGCGTGAAGAAAATCGGGCTCCGCATCGAGCCGCATCGGGGATGCATCGGCGATGCGGCGCGATCCTCCGACCCCATCTACTCCGACCCATAAAGGAGGCCTAGAGGCTTGGGCTGGGGTGGCTTGGTGGACGGTGACTATGGACTCCGCCCAGGCACAGCGTCCACGGCCACAGCGCCGCTGGCAACTAGCCGCACCGACCACGCAAACCGACGCCGACCGGCACCGGCGGACCTGCTGCAGCCCAGAGGGGCGCGGCGATGCAGCGGCGACTGGAGGAACAAGCAGTGGCAGAAAGGAGGAGGAGGAAGGAGGACGAGGACGAGGAGAGGAGGACGACGAGGAGGAGGAGGACGACGAAGAGATGGAGGACGAGGAGGAGGAGGAGGACGAGGAGGACGACGACGACGAAGAGGGGAAGGTCGACAGAGGAGGTCAGCGCGGAACCCGCGAAGGCGAAGGCGGGCGCACAAAGGCGTCCACTGCCCGGTCGCTTCGGCAGCGTCGCCGTCGGAGGCGTTCGGTCGGCTCGGTCTGGTCGATGGCCCGTGCCGAAGGATCAAGAGTCATGCACATCATGTCTCGGAGGCCCGAGGTGTAGTACCTTCTCAGGGCGTGGTTTTCCTGATCTCCAACACGTACTTTGATCATGGTGCAATGTGTTCCCGATCGTGGTGCTGTGTGTTCCATTACTCGAAGGTGTAATGTCATTCGAACGCAGTTGTGCGATTATTCAAAAGGTACTCTGACAATGGTCTCATGTGTTCCATTACTCGAAAGTGATGTGTATGATTCGAACGTGGTTTCGCTAATATTCAAAAGAGATCTTCTGATCATGATGAAGTGAGTTCGCTTCCTCGAAGGTGTATGATCTATTGCGAACGTGGCATTGCTGAAATAACTCTGATCATGGTGCATTGTGTTCCCTTACTCGACGGTGTAGTATCTCCTTCGAACGTGGCGTTGCTGGTCTTCAGAAGGGAACTCTGATCATGGTGCGATGTGCTCCCCTACTCGAGTGTAGTAGGTTCTTCGAACCTGCCTTTGCTATTATGCAAAAGGTGCTCTGATCATGGTGTTGTGTTCCCTTACTCGACGGTGCAGTCTCTTCGTCGGACGTGGTTTCGCTAGACTTCAAAAGTTACTCGGAACACAGTGCTATGTGCTCCCCTACTCGACGGTGTAGTACCTCTTCGATAGTGGCTTCGCTAGTATTCAAAAGATACTCTGATCATGGTGGTATGTGGTTCCCTACTCGAGAGTGGGATAGGTGTTTCGTACGTGGCGCTGCCAGCCTTCAAAATGTACTCTGATCATGGTGTCGTGCTCCCTTACTCGGAGGTGTAAGATCTTCTCCGAACGTGGCGTTGCTAGTCTTCAAGTGGTACCCTGATCATGGTGCTCTTTGTTCCCAGACTCGAAGGTGTAATATCTCCTCCAAACGTGGTGCTGCAAATCCTCAAAAGGTACTCAGGTAATGGTGCTACGTGTTCCCTCACGCGGCGGTGTGGCATCTTCTCCAAAGGTGTCTTCGCTATTCTGCAAAAGGTACTCAGACGTGCTTCTGCGAGTCGTCAAAGGGTACTCTGATCATGACACTCTTTGCTCCCTCACTCGAAGATGTGGCACCTCCTCCACACGTCGCGTGGCTTATACACAAAGTACTCTGGACATGTTGCTAGTGGTTCCCTTACTCAAAGATGGTGTATCTCCTTCGCAAGTGGCGCTGCTGTTCTTGAAATGGTACTCTGATCATGGTGCTACCTGAACCCCCGCTCAAATGTGCTGTAGTTATCCGAACGTGGTGTTGCTATTCTTCAACAAGTACTCTGATCGTGCTGCCATGCGATCCTGTACTCGAAGGTGTACTACCTTCTCCGAACGCGGTACGTGGTGTTGCTAGTCCTCAGAATGTCCTCTGATCATGGTGCTGTGTGTTCTGTTACTCGAGCGTGCAATATCTCTTTCGGACGTGGCGTTGCTACACATCAAAGGGTGCTCTGCTCGTGAAGCTATGTGTTTCCTTACTCGAAGGTGTAGTCTCCTTCGAACGTGGCGTTGCTATACGTCAAAGGGTGCTCTGATCTGATCATGATGCTATGCGTTCCCTCAATCGAAGGTGTAGCAGCTTTTCCGAACGTGGTGCTGCTGATCTTCAGAAGGTACTCTGATCAGGTTGCTTTGTGTTCCCTTGTTCGAAGCCTTAATACATGATTCGACCTTTCTGCTTCGATTATTCAAAAAGTACGGATGTAGTATCTTCTCCGAACGTGGCGGTGCTAGCTTTTAAATGGTGCTCTGGTCATGGTGCGATTTGCTCCCAGACTCGAATTTAGTAGATCCTCCTCGGTGTTGCTAGTCTTCAGAAGGTACCCTGATCATGGTGCTATGTGTTCCCTCACTCGAAGGTGTGGTCATCGAAAGTGGTTATGCTATTCTTCGACATGTGCTCATGGTGCTGTGTTCCCTCAGTCGACGGTGAAGTATCTTCTCCAGACGTGGTGCTGCTGGTCTCCAAAAAGTACTATGATAATGGTGCTATGTGTGTCTTTGCTCGAATGTGTTTCCGAACGAAGTTATGGAACTCCTCATAATGTACTCGGCTCAGTGTGCTTCGTGTGTCCTTAAACAAAGGTTAGTCTATTATCCGAGCGTGGTCGTGCTGGTCTTCAAAAGGTGCTCTGATCATGCCGCCCTCTGCTTCCTTACTCGAAGGAGCAGTATGTCCTCCGCACGTGGTGTGGCTATTCTTCGAACGGTATTATGGTCCTGGTGCGATGCGGTCCCGTACACGAAGGTGTATTATCTTATGCGAACGTGGCGTTGCTAGTCTTCGAAAGGTACCCTGGCCATGGTGAGATTTGCTCCCTTACTCGAAGGTGCAGTATCTTATCCGAACACGGGTTTTACTAGTCTTCACGAGGTACTCTGATCATGATGCGATTCGCTCCTCGAAGTGTGGGGCCCTTCGGGGCCATCGCAGAAACATGCCGCCCGCGTGGAGAAGCGGCCATGTGCACCTTCGGCCAGATCGCCAGTGGCGCCCAGCCAACTCACACTGCCGCGGCCCGCGCCTCGATCAAGAGGTACTCAGGCCAAGCATGAGGCATCAGGCCAAGACCATCAGGCCAAGCGTAGCGAGTGCGCTCCATCCTTGGTCCGCAGCGACATCCGACATCTCCTCAGCTTCAGCGTCATCTTCCCTCCTCCGCCTTGCGAGCGGAAACCATGTGCATTTCGGCGGCCTCGCAATCCGGGCTCCGTGGCCGCGATCCTAGGGATGACGTGGGAACGTCACGCTTCCCATAGCAAAACCATGGAAACTCCTCCTCCACCTCCTCCTCCGCCTCCTCCTCCGCCTCCTCCTCCTCCTCCTCCTCCTGGAGGTAAGCAGGGCTTGGAGGCAAGCAAGGCTTGGCATGGGTCTCTACACTGCATCACACGGGTGCCCCGAGCGGAACGTGTACAGGTCCACGGGACCGTGTCTCCATGGGGTCGCACCTTGGTGTCCAGACTGCGAGGAGCCCGACGCGGATATGCTCCTCGCTCGTGGCCCTCCTCCTCCTCCTCCTCCTCCTCCTCCTTCTCCTCCTCCCCTTCTTCTTCCTCCTCCTCCTCCTCATATAATTGGTCCTCCTCTCGGGGAGACGTAAGACTCGGGTTCGGGGGACATCGGGTTTGCCGACGCCTTTTGCCGAGCGCGTCCTGGATTTGGACGATTCGGTTTTCGTGTGATATTTGCAGCGGGAGCTCGCGTTGAATCCCACCAGCCCTTTGGGCGTGAGTGGTTTAGGGAGCTCTCTCTGTTCTCAACCCCCCTTCTTCCCCTTCGGGGAGGGGTTTACCCCTCCCCCTACCCCCTCCCCCTGGGCCTGGAGAGAGCGTTTCGCGGGTCGTCAGAGGGGTCAAGTTCGACTCCTGGGAGGGCTAAAAAACGACGACCCTCACGAGGATTCTGGCCCCGACGGGGGGGCGGAGATAGGCCCCTCTGCTCTTCTTTGAAGCCAACATCATTGATTTTACTACGGTTTTGGCCCCATTTTGGCGTCCTGAGGGGGCCGCGCTCATCTTCCTTCCTAGCAAAATCATTGATTTTACTGAGGTTTTGGGCTCATTTTGTCGTTCTCAGGGGGCAGCGCTCATTTGCGCTTCTGAGGAGGTCGCAAGAGGCCCCAATATGGCCCCAAGAGGCCCCCAGGAGGCTCAAAGGAGGCCTCCAAGAGGCCCCCAAGAGGCCCCCAAGAGGCCCCAAGAGGCCCCCAAGTGGCCCCCAAGAGGCCCCCAAGAGGCCCCAAGAGGCCCCAAGAGGCCCCCAAGAGGCCCCCAAGAGGCCCCCAAGAGGCCCCCAAGAGGCCCCAAGAGGCTCCAAGAGGCCCCCAAGAGGCCCCACGAGGAGCCCGAACGACTCACACCAGGACGAGGGGCCCGAACGACTCACACCACGAAGAGCCCGAACGACTCACACCACAAGGAGGGGCCCGAACGACTCACACCAGGACGAGGCGCCCGAACGACTCACACCACGAGGAGCCCGAACGACTCACACCACGACGCGGGCCCCGAACGACTCACACCACGAGGAGCCCGAACGAGTCACACCAGGAGGAGGGGCCCGAACGACTCACACCAGGATGAGGGGCCCGAACAACTCACACCACGAGAAGCCCGAACGACTCACACCAGGACGAAGAGCCCGAACGACTCACACCACGAAGAGCCCGGACGACTCACACCAGGAAGAAGGGCCCGAACGACTCACACCAGGACGAGAAACCCCAAACGACTCAAATCACGAGGAGCGCTTTCTCTCCCTCCTCCTCCGCCTCGTCCTTCTCCCGCTCCCCCCACAAGGAGGATATACAAGGAGGCGGGAGGAAGGAGGAACAGGGGAGATATGCGGGGCCAAGCGGACACACGCCTGAAAAACACGACTGTCGGCATGCTTCGCAAGAGTTGCTGCTGTGAGATGGGCTGGTGGGGATACGCGAAGCGTAAAGAATTTCAGACAGTGTCTCGTCATTTTCATGATGGTCCCTGAAATTTAACGCGAGCTCCCGCTGCAAATATCACATGAACACTGGATCGTCCAAATCCAGGACGCGCTCGTCAAAAAGCGTCGGCAAACCCGATGTCCAGCGTATTCGAGTCTTACGCTTTCCCGGTCCTCCACCGCCTCGTGCTGCAGCCGTACTGATGGCCTCAGTGAGGCGGCGGTCCTTGGCCCCAGCAAAACCCCCCCGCACAGGGGGGGTAAACAGGCCGCTTTCTCTAAAGCCAACCAGGCCATCCTTTGTGCATGCTGCAAGGTACGCGTGCTATGGGTCCGACGGCCTCTTTCCTTGATGTTATGCGCTTGCCACTTCTCTTCCAACTCATCATCCTCATGCTCCTTCTGACAACTGGAGGCCTCCCAAGTTGGGTCCGAATACATGGGTCCAGAGGATGGCGCCGCCTTGTCAATGCATTGCCGAGGGGTTGATGATGCGCTGGCGAGGTCGGCGATGCATCGTCGCCGACGGCGCAGAGAAAATCGCGCTACACATCGAGCCGCATCGCCGATGCATCGGCGACGTTGCGCGATCCATGCCCCTCCACTCGGACCCCATTCGTGGGGAAACCAAGATGTACCCATACAGCTACTCCCCGGACCCTTCCTGGGGTGCGCTCTGACCAGAATTTCGGAGCGAATCCAGCGGTGGCGACGAGGGCCCCCCAGGAGGCCCAAAATGAGGGAAAACGAAGGAAAGGTAGAGGCATGGGTACCCTGTCCTCCTCCGATTGTGAGAGGCCCGCGAGTCTAAAAATCACGGTGTCCGCGCAGACCGACCGCTGCCCAGGCGACGCCAGCAGGCAGTTGCTGATGCACTCCTCGTTGCAGGTCAGCGGGCCTCCGCCGCCCCGGGCCAGCCCCAGAAGGCGCTTCCCGAGGAGGAGAGGAGGCAGTGGCGAACGCAGGACGAAGAAAAATTCGGATGATGATGATCAAGTGGGAATCTCGGGAGGTCGGCACGCATTAGTCGGGGATGGACAGGCCCCCTTTAGCAAAACGTGGTTTGGTGAGGACGACCTCGGGCCCAAACCTGGCGGGCGCAAGCCCGGAAAATGACGGCCGCGGCGCCCTCTCGAGAACCGTAAACGGACAAGTCGCTAATCGACGTGCCAGGGTGGCGGTTCTGTCCCCCCCCGAATCAGAGGCCTCCCAGATTTCGGTGGCAATTCATGGGAGCCTCCCATACCATCTTGTCGGCTCTTGCGAACCGACCGCTGAATTGATGCGAATCGATGCTAAGTCGACGCTAGTCGGCGCTAAACGACGCTGTCTCATTGACTCTCAGACGCAAATCGACGCTGATCGACCCTGACAACGAATTCAGAGGGTATACCAGGCTCCCTTGCTTTGCTACCGCTCCAGATGGGGTCAGAACAGATGGGGTCGGAGCATCGCGCCGCATCGACGGTGCATCACCGATGTATCGGCGATACATCGGCGACGTCGGCGTCGAGAAACTCGCCAGTGCATCGGCGATGCGTCGCAATGTCACGACCCCATCTACTCGAACACCATGTGGGATGCCTGGAGGCATAGAAAATGTATCGGGCGCCGCTGTCGGTTCCAGCGCGTTCCTGATCGCCGTGACCTATCCTCATCCTCGGCCTGTCTGGGAGGCGGAGGAAAGAGGGGTTCGGACCACGCAACGGGGCAAGCAGAACAAAGCCAAATTCAACGAGACTGAGACAAATCAGGCCGGTCTTTTCGACCACCAATAGCAAGTCGGACATGTCCCTTTACAGGCGGAGTTTGGAAGAAAAATGAAAACGAAATCAACACACATACCCAAACATAATCAAACAATCCGCTTGCCCGCTTGTGGGACCACCAGGCTGTAGGCATGTTTTCTGTCCGAAGGTTCTTCTTCTGGGGGCGGCCGACCAACGAGCTCCTAAACTAGCCCGTTCTGGAGGGGATTCCCGAATTCAGCCAGAAGCTTGTTCTCGAGGGCTCCAACGAGCTCCTGAACAATAAAATCAGCCTGGAGCTCGTTCTCGAGGGCTACTGGAGGAATCCCTCGAGAACGCGCTCCTGGGCGAATTTCGCCCCTGAGGCCACAATCCCGTGTAAAATGCGACGGAGTCGCGCTCCCGAAGCCCCGATCCCCTGTGTACCGCTGGAACACTGCTGCCGGTGCCAGCGCGGACACTGGAAGACTTGGCCTTCAGTGCAGGGCTTGCAGCGTACCGCCTGCCCTGAGATCCGACGTGGCGAAACAACCGCAAGATCGCGAAACATCACGACCGAAACCCTGGCCCTTGACCCCATCGTTCTGCAGCATGTTTCGAGCTGGATCGATCTGTGTTAGTCCTGGGGCCCGAAACCTGGCGCGAAAACGCTTGGTGTAACAAAGACTGCGCCCGATCCGCGCTACCGAGGCCACGTCCCCCATATATCCGCCAGATTCGGGCTCCCGAGACCACGACCCCCTGCAAAGCATATTGGACTCGCGCGCCCGAGGCCGCCATGCCCAGAGTCTCGCGCCGAGGCCACGATCCCTCGGGAATCGCGCCAGCTGCACGCTCCCAGGGCCACAGTCACTCGGTGGACTACAGCGGGTTGCAACGGATTCGCGCTCCCGAGGCCACGGTCTCCCGTAGATTACAGCGGATTCGTGCTCCCGAGGCCAGGATCTCTTGCAAGCTACGCCAGGCTGCCACGCTCCCGAGGCCGCGAGCCCTTGCAAAGCACGCCAGGGGCGCGCTCCCGCGGCCACGAGCCTCCCTCCGTTTCGCCGGAGTCGCGCTCCCGCGGCCGCGACCCACGGCCAAGTCTGCCAGAGTCGCGCCATTCCCAGGCCGCAATTCCTGCAGAACTGCACCAGGCTCACGCTGCAGATGCCACGAGCCCCTGTAGAGTACGCCAGCACCGCGCTCTCGAGAGGCCACGACCCCAGGCAGACTGCACCAGGCCTCGCTGGCCCCGGGCCACGACCCCTGGCGACGTACGCCTGGCTCGCACTCCCGAGGCCACGGGTCCCGTGCACACTGCGCCAGGTTCACGCTCCCCAAGCTTGATCAGGGACCGACCGTCTCGGCATTCCTATAGTCCTACCACGAAATGTTCTTAGAAACCAAGAATGTTCTAATCACAAAAACAACGTTCTTAGAACATAAACCCGATGTGTTCAAACAAGACAGACTCCGCCAGAAATGTTCTAAGAATATTTCGTGGAAACCACAAAAAGTTCTTAGAACAGTGTTTGGTAGGGCTATAGGCGAGCCAGGACGCTTCGCCATTGCTTGAAAGCCAGGAACCCAAAGGCAGTCCCGACCGAGCGATTTTGCTGAAGATGGTCTCAAACACCCCCCAGTCCTTCCAAGGGGGCACCCAATATACAGCTCGAGGAACAATTTTCCGAGAAAACAACACAAAGCATTCAAACAGCCACACCGTCCCAATACGTTTTGCTGATCCCCAACCGTCTTGGACGATGCCCCCCTTGCTTCAAACTGCTATCCGTGTGTCCTCCTCCAGTATGATAGAGAAGGCCGGATGTTACAATCCCTTAAAAAAACGTTGTCCCCATACTGCTTCAAGGCAGCGCCCAAACATCCAACCATAGCCCTGCTATATCCCACTCTGATAGAGAGGGGGCCGGCGGGAGAGGGTGAAGCCCTGACGGACAATAGAAGAAGCGACCCCGCCTTAGTTTTTAACTAGTTTCGAATGTTCCTCCTGTAGAGGGACGAAGCCGACTCAACACTGGTACACCAGCGCCGATGCTGAAGTCAACATCCCAGGACTTGCTGGGCCTGCTGGGGGCTGGCCGCCTCCCCAGCCGCACGCGCCTGGAAAGTGGCAGGGGAGCACTAATGTCTGCAGGGGCGGTGCCCCTCTTTGGGCGACGCAGGGACATGAGAATGGGGATGTGCAGAGCCATTGCCATAGAAAGTCGGCGTATCCCTATCGACACACACACACCCCTAACGCTTCGATCAGAGATGTGGCCCATGCGGAGACGAGAACAACACGCTCAATGAAGGGTGTCGCGGGCGCCTAGGCGGCAGCAAAATCTTGAATCAGAGATGTGGCCCACGCACAGGCCAGAGCATCATTCCGAGATAAGCGTGTCGCCAGCATGCAGGTTCCGAGGCAAACGTTCGGCACGGGCCCCGCTCGGTTTCACCGAGGTCCGGTCTACGTTAGGTGGGTAGTCCACGTTAGGGTTAAGTCGGGCGGGTCCCCCTACAGGAGGATTTTTGACGAAAAATGTAAAAATCGAACATCGGAAAATACTCCAAAATAGTCAAAGCATGTTTAAAAATCGTCCCCAGACAATATTCTGACTGTTTTGGAGTATTCCTCCGGTCGAGGGACAGGCCCGACTTAACGTTAGGGGGGGTGTGCTGTGCCGGGGGGAGCTCACGGGCTCTCCCGCAGTGGAACTTCGTGCTCGCGAAGGTCGGGGCAGCCCGACCTCTGGAGGTGCAGCTTCAGGGAGCACGCACAGGACGTACGCGCCCAGCTGCGTACACGAGCACGGCCCCTCGATCCGCGAGGCCAGCCGCGCTGTACGAGCATTGGCGCAGTGCGCACTCTCGCAACCAGCGTGAATCCATGCACGCGTACGTCGTCCTTTCGCTCCTGAGAGTAGCCTGGTGCACGGGCAGGGGCGACGACGGCGAGGGGGGGGAGAGGCGAGGGGGAGGGGGGCGGGGCCTCGCGGTGGCAACCAGAGTCGGGCGAAATCAGGTCTAGCGTCAGGTCGGGCGTGTCCCCCCCTACAGGGGGGGATTTGCGACGAAGAAGACAGGGATACTTTAAACAACAGTCCAACATGGCGAAACAGAGTCCCCCCAAAAATAGGCCCCAGACTATTTTTCTACTATTTTTGAATATCCCCCCTGTAAACGACAGGCTGGACTGAAGTCTAGCGTGTCTGGGCAGAGTGAGCGGCGGCCGCCAGGGCGAATGGCGGCAAGCATGAGCAAACCTGATCGGACAAGAACGGGAAGCGCCGACTTTGTCCATTGGGCTGGTAGGGGGGGGACAGTAAGAGAAGGATGGTGGCGACGACGAGGCGGCGGACATCGAGGATGGCAGCGTGGATGGCGGGGAGGGCAGCGAGGGGGGCAGACGGACAACGAGTCGCCTCCTCGGCCGTTTTGGGGCTCTCCCTGGCCAAGGTGCGCGGCTGAGGGGCTTTTTGGGGGTCTCTTGGGGCGCTTTTGGGGTCCTCTGGGGGGCCTTTGGGGGCTCTCTGGGGCCGTCTTGAAGCCCTCCGGGAGCGAGTCCAAGACGATGTTGGTCTGGAGACCCCCACGGAGCCGGCTTCTTGGTGGCATCCCGAGCGAAACGACCTGATCGGGCAAGAACGGGAAGCGCCGCTTTAGTTCATCAATGGGCGAATTGGGCGAAGAGGAAGAAAAGGAAGGCGAGGGCGACGAGAAGGCGATGACGAGGACGGCGTGGAGAACGTGAGGATAGCGAGGAGGAGCACGAGAACAACGAGGAGGAAGAGAAACACAAGGACGAGGACGGAGAGGACGATGGCGAGTACGAGTTGGAATGCGGAGGACGATGACGACGACGACGACGGCGGAGGCCAGTAAGAGGCAATTGCAGAAGGACGTTGAATCAGGAGAGGGCCCTTGTGACTCTATCGGGCTACCGTGGGGGCTCCCGGCCCCGCGCGAGGTCTTGGGGCCTGTTGGGGGCTTCGTGGGGGCCTCTTGGGTCCTCTTGTGGGCTTCTGGAGTCTTCTTGGGCTGTCGGGGCGCGTTGTGGGGTTCTTTGGGAGCTTTCCTTGGGCTGTCTCGGCGTCATCTGGGGCTGTCTTGGGGCTTTCGTGGGCCGTTTGGGGGCCTCCTGGGACGCTCCTGGGATTCTCTTGGGGCCAACTTGGCCCATCTTGGGCCGTCTTGGGGCTCTCATGAGCTGTCTTGGTGCCTCCTGGAGCGCTCTTCGGGGTCTCTTGGGGCCCTCTTGGGGCGCTATTGGGCGCGGGCCATTCGAAAGCCCTCCGGCAACGATGCCAAGACGATGTCGATTCGGAATCCCCTCCGGAACCGAATTTTTGAGAATGTCTCAAGCGTAGCGGTCATTTTTCCAGAACCTCGAAGGCGCTTACCGTTATCCGCCAGCGAATCCTGGGATGGAATCCGTACCGTTTAGTTCGAGAAAGAAACATAAGCCCCATAACCAACGGTGCACGCCAGAGGCGCTTCCCATCATCCGCCAGCGAGCTCTGGAATGTTGCGCGCACCCCTTCATTTGAAACAAATGCATGTTGTTCATAAAAGCGGTCCACGCTAGAGACGCTTCCCGTCAGCCAAAGACCCCAAGCGATGCTGACAGTGGTGGTGGATCTTCCCGGGCCCAAGGATTGTGAGGCAACTCTCCAGGCGACAAGCTGCAAAACATATTGGGCATGAGAAGCTGCACGGCCATCAACATTTTTGTTGTTGGAAGGAGCGGAGGCCGACCACGAAACTGCAAAGGCCCCATGCTGCAAGCGTCAGCAGAAACGAACCAAGCCTGCCACCATAGGCAAGCGCGCGACGAGGAGGAGGAGGAGGAGGAGGAGGAGGAGAAGGAGGAGGAGGAGGAGGAGGAGGAAGGAGAGAAGCTTATAACCTAACGATCGCCGATCCATGTCCGGGCAACGTCAAAAAAAGGAGGGAGAGGAGCGTACGAGGAGGATGGAGTGGGCAGCGCGGTGCACTGCCAGCCTCGCGAGGGTCGACAAGAGAAGTGAGCCTCCCCTCGGCAAACCCGCCTTCGGCACCGAAGGCCTCGCCCAGCCGGGCGGAGGCCACGGCGCCCGCGGCCACTGCCGCAATGCACCCGCGGCGGCCGGCGTGCGAACCCGACCTCGGTGGGCATGCGGCCGGCGAAGCAGGAGGCTCTCGGGATAGACGGGGCGCGCGCGCCCCCACCGCAGCTCACTCCTCCTCCTCCTCCTCCTCCTCCTCCTCCTCCTCCTCTCCTCCTCCTCCTCCTCCTCCTCCTCCTCCCTCCTCCTCCTCCTCCTCCTCCTCCTCCTCCTCTCCCTCCTCTCCTCCTCCTCCTCCTCCTCCCCTTCCCCCTCCTCCTCCTCCTCCTCCTGACTCCTCCTCCTCCTGACTCCTGACTGCTCCATTCCACTTCCTCATCAAAACCCGCCACCGTGCCTGTGGCACGTTGAGGGTCAGAAGAATGGGAAGAATGGCAAGGGCTGCCTGGCAGGGTCTCTGTAATATTGCGCCGCGGCCGTCCGCGCAGCGACGCCGTCGAGTCCGAACGGGGCGAAGGTGGGCAGCAGCCGACTCGCTCCGCCGGGCCCCCGCGCAGCAGCCCCGGCGAGGCCACGTTGCGGCGAGGCCACCCGCGGAGAGGGCAACAGGCGGGGGCCTGGCTCCACACAGACAGGTTAATTCCGGCCTGGCCTCCTACAGAGGGATTTTGGACGAAAGACTGAAAATAATCAAACATACACCAAAATAGTTAAAACAATACCTCAACAAAAACGTCCCCATACTATTTTCGGACTGTTTCTGAATGTTCCTCCTGTAGAGAGACACACCCAATTTAAGAGAAAGAAGACGACAACAATCACATAAGCAGAGCCTTTCGGAACGCCGCGCGGCTCCCTGGATCTGCGCATGGGCCCCCATGGCGGCCCCTCGCCGGGGAGAGGGGTCCGACGCTGATGCAAGAGATCCGCGCGGAGGTCTAATAATCATGTGTATGCCGTTTTTGTTGGTCCTGGCATGGACTAGGGGAATAAAAAATAACATAAACATGAAAACTCGGAGGTCCGCGCGGACCGAACCGAAAAATCCGCGCGGATCTCCGAGTCCCACCAGCCCTCTGGGCGTAGGTGGTCTAGAGCAGATCCTCTTCCACCCCTCCCTCTTCCCCCTTGGGGAGGGGTTTACCCCTCCCCCTACCCCCTCCCCTGGACCTGGACGGGGGGGGCCGCGGGTAGTTAGAGCGTCCAAGATGGCCCAAGACGGCTCCAAGAGCGCCTCAGAGAACCCAAGATGAGCTCCAAGATGGCTCAAGATAGCGCAAGATCGCTCACGATGGCTCCTAAGATGGTTCCAAGAAGCCCAAAGACGGCCCCAAGATAACTCCAAGTGGCCAAACAGCTCCCCAAGGAGGCCCCGAAGAGGCCAAAATCGTCCCAAAACCTAAGGAAAATCAATGATTTTTGCTTTCTCGCCTTTTCGCTTCCGATGGCCATCCGAGGCCTGGAGATGGCTCCAAGATGGCCCAAGAGGGCCCCAAGAGAGCCCCAAAAGAGCCCCAAGACGGCCCCAAGAGCGCCCAAGAGCACTCCAAGAGCGTTCCAAGAGGGGTCCAAGAGGCGATTTTAGGGGCTTCCGAGGGGGGACGCTAATTAAACCCCCCCTCTTGTTTGATCGACTCCCTCCAAGATGGCCCCAAAAGCGCCCCGAAGGCTCCCCAGAGCGCCTCAAGAGGGTCCCAAGAGGCGCCCAAGATGCCCCAAGGCGCCCAAAAAGCCCTCCAAGAGGCCCTCAAAAGACCCCCAAGAAGCTCCTTCCCCTCCTCCTCCTCCTCCTCCGATTCTTCCTCCTTCTCCGTCCTCCTCCTCCTCCTCCTCCTCCTCCTCTTCCCCCTCCTCCTCCTCCTCCTCCTCCGACGACGACGACGACGACGACGACTCCTCTTCCATCCTCCCCCTCTCGGGGTCTGTGACAGCTTCCCCCGCCCTTTGTTATTCTGCATGCTCCCCGACTTCCCTGATCACCTCAACTCCCCTGAGCATCGTTTCTGGATGGGCTGGTGGGGATACGCGAAGCGTCAACAATTTTTATGTTTATGCCACTTTTTGTTCCCCTACCCATGCATCCGCCAGATTCGGGCTCTGGAGACCACGACCCCCTGCAAAGTATATCAGACTCGCGCTCCCGAGGCCGCCATGCCTGGAGTCTCGATCCGAGACCACGATCCCTCGAGAATCACGCCAGATGCACGCTCCCAGGGCCACAGTCACTCGGTGGACTACAGCGGGTCGCAACGGACTCGCGCTCCCGAGGCCACGATCTCCCGTAGATTGTACCGGATTCGTGCTCCGCGAAACCCGCGCGGACCTCCGAGTGTTTATGTCTATGTCACTTCTTGTTCCCCTATGGACCGTCAGCGAGGAGGAGGAGGAGGAGGAGGGGGGGGAGGAGGAGAAGTGGAGGAGAAGTGGAGGAGAAGGAGGCGGAGGAGGCGGAGGAGGAGGAGGAGGAGGAGGAAGAGGAGGAGGAACATATGAAATCCAGGGTCTGGCACCCCTGTCCTCCACCCCGCGCTCCCCCGGCGAGGCGGCGGCGCCGCTCCGAGCACGGCCGGCAGGAGGCGCGGGCCGCTGCGCCGACCGCCGCCGGGCGTCGCAGGCGGGGGGGGAGACGGCTCCAGGGGCGCGTGCTGCTTCTGCGACGTCGGGCGTGGCCCCCCTACGGGGGGATTGTCGACGCAAAACAAAAAAATAGTCACAAACAAAAAATGTTCAAAAAGTAGTCACAAACAAAATGTCACAACAAATGTTCAAAAATGTTCAAAAATAGTAAAAAAATAGTCACAAACAAAAATAGTCACAAACAAGAAAGTGGCCAGAAAATGTTCCAAAAATAGTCCCCGCCATGCTTTTGGGGTATTTTTGAAGATTCCCCCCCCCTGTAGAGGGACGGCCCCTGGGCGCGTGCTGCTCCTGCCTCCGCACACACACGCACGCGGCGGGGCCCACCTCCTTCCTGCCTGCTCCGGCCCGCGCTGCTCGGGACCCGCGCGAAGGGCGCGGCCTCGGCCATCGGCCTTCCTATGACTACCTACCAGACCACCCCAACCCAACCCGAAGACCCGAATTTGACTCGAATTTCGGGTTGGGGGGGGTACGGATTCCATGTGTTTTTTCAATGTTCCCCGACCCCCCCCCACTGGAAATCGAGGATAAATTTGGGCCTTCGGGTTGGGTTGGGGTGGTTTGGTGGGTGGTGATCCTAGGGCTCCCGACTTCGCGCTTCGCGCTCCGCGCTCCGCGCTCCGCGAAGCGCGAATCGCTTCGCGCGCTCGCGCCGCCCCCCCAAAGGGAGAGAAGGAGGACGAGGAGGAAGGGGAGAAGGAACGAGGACCGCGAAGCGCGAAAAAACTTCGCGCCCTCGTGGGGGCCCTTGCCTTCCGGCCCCCTCCGCCAATCGGAACGCGAAGGTGAAGACTCAGACTCAGACTCCGACTCGCTCTGCACAGCCCAGGGCTGGCCCCACTCAAGGGGAGAGCGGGCGCTGCCGGAGCGCGGGCGGAGCCGCCCTGGGCAACGACGTGGAGGAAGAAGGCAGCTACGCTCACAGGTCCGCGCAGTACTTCTCCAAATCACCCCCCCATTTAGAATCTCATGCTACAGCCTTCCAGCTGTCGCCCGATGGACAGGAGGGCTGCGAGACACGGGTCATGGAGGCCGGGGCTTCGCACGCCCAGCACGGGTGCTACGGGAAAAAGGGTGCGGAAAGGATGGGTCCGGTGCCCAGCAGCGGCTGCTGTCCGAAAGCGGCAGCGGCCGCCGCTGGGCAGGCGACGTCTCGTCTCGAGCGGACAACGTCCGCGGCGACACTGAGACGTCCGCGGCGACACCGGCAACGGGCCCTGTGCAACACTGGCAGGAGCTGCTGTCACCCTTCGTCCCCGCTCTCGTCGTAGCTGTTCTGGCCGTGCTGCTGGAGCGTATGGCGACCCCCATCCCCGACTTTGTTGGGTCTTCGACTGGACCGAGAATGTTGGGACCCAGCGAGGGGATATGCGATGGGTGGTGTACATCCTCGATCGGGGCGCGTCTGAATAGCCCCCGGGGGGTATGCACCCCCGAGTTCCCCTTCATTTCTGAGCGGCCAATTTGTTCGAAAGAACTTGAGGGAAGGAGATCAGCACAAGCTTCTGGCGACGAGCCGAGCCGCCAGTCGCCGACTCCGAAGGGTGTGGTTTGCAAAGGGAGTGGCTTGCAACGCGCGCCTGGGAGCGGGCGAGCGAGAACCTCGACAGAGATCTTTGCCTCGCCCTGGTATAGGCTCATCAGACCTCTGGCGCAAGGTGGTGACCTCCCAAGCCCTAACGGCACCGATCACAAGCCACACCCTGGCGTTGTGGATGCCATGACAATGAACACCCTAACAATCCCATAACTGGATCAAACATGTGGTTAGAATGTCGGAACGATGTTCTAAACGTCTGACTTGCTTCTAATGAGTTCTAACATGACTATCTGGAACTATTTGGCAACATGCTTCCTCTCCATTCACCGTCGTCCACAACTCTGGCGCAACCACTCTCATCTCAGTCGCCGAGCCTTGCCATCCTGCACGCGCTTCCGCCCACTCCCCGGGGGCGTGGGAGAGCTCCGGGAGCCCGTGTTCGCCAAGCCCCCCGCGGCATCCGCGCCCGCTCCGAGCCGGGGACGCCGGCGGCAGCGCCACAAACGCCGGCGGGCCGCCGGTGCCTGTCGGCATGTGGGCGCGGGGGGGGCCTCCGAAATCCCAAATGTTCCATACCTCGCCATCGCTTGGACGTCCATTCCCTGTGTTTTTGTTCGGTTTCGTGCGTGGCTTTTTCGCCAAATGATCAAGGATGCTCCTCGATGGTCCTCGCCGAGAAAAAAATGCACACGTCCGAGCGATGCCAAGATGCTCCGAGTTTCCGAATACGCGTCGGGGGGGGGGCGCCACCCCCGCCGGCAGCCCCACAGCGGCCCCCGTCGTGGGCGGCCACCGGGCGCCGAAGGCGCTGCGAGCCCCGTCGCGGCGCGACGACGAGGCGAGGTCGACCCCCGTCAGGGGGGTAGCCCCCCACGCTTAGTAGGAAGCCCGGAGTTCGCCATCCCCAATCTGAATCCTCCAGCCTCCTGCAGCCTTCCTGGCAAAGCATGTTGACCCGCCAAGCTCCAACGTGTGTCTCTTGTCGGGGAAACGTGAGACTCGGGTTGGCCTGACGGGGCCGTCGGGAAAGTGACGAGGCCCAATCTGAAATTTGACACGAGCTCCCGCGGCAAACAACCTAGAGCCTCGAGCATCGTGGGCACAGCATCATGCTTAAGCCACCGCTTGACGACAACCTCCCCAGGGACCTCCTCGCGTCGCGACGGATATCATGAAGGAAGGCTTTTGGAAACTTGGCCCTACCACCACGGCCCTGGGACCTACCAAGGCCCTTGTACCGTCCAAAAACGACTCGGGATGTGAAACCCAGGAAAGCGGTCCACGCTGTGAGCAAACCACGTCGGAGGTCTGGGTCATCCTCTTCCCTCTTCTCCTCCAGTGCCTTCGCTGCCAGGAAGGCGCTTGACCATGCCATGCGCAGACAACGCCATGCGGCATGAGCGGGGACCTGCAATCTAAGCAGATTGTAAGGACGCGCTGTCTGAGAAGCCTGGTGTGACAACGCAACGACGATGTTACGAGTTCTGTCCACGAGTCCCCAAGGAGTCTCGACCCTTTTGCCCAGACTGGGTCTTACTAATTGCATCAACATCGAATCTCTGAGGGCTAGAAAAAAAAGCCCGATAATGTCGCAACGCTTCGTGGGAGGGGGGGGAACAGAATTTGTCGCCACTGATGCCGGCACTGGCGAGCAGCAGTCCGTAGCTTTAGGCTCGAGGAGGCTCAACCAACAAGCTAAGAGCGGATGTAGGCAACTGCCCGCCAAGCCTTTTCTCTGTATCACGTTGGGCGCACATCCGTCCCAAGCAGCAGGTAGAGAGCACAAATCATCCTCCAGTCCCCTGCATCCTTCATAGCGACATGTGTTGGCCCGAAGAGACAGACGACTCATGTTCGGGGAACTCGGGTTGGCCTGATGGGGCTGTCAAGGAAATTACGAGGCTCAATCTGAAATTTGGCGCGAACTCCGACTGCAAAAATCCCACGAACACTGAACCCTCAAAATCAAGGACGGGCGTGTCAAAACGCTTCGGCTAACCCGAGTTCTGTCGAACTCAAATATCACGCCTCCTTGATCCTGAAGCTGCTAGCCTCGTGAGCACAACATCACGCTTGCCGCCGCTCGACGGCGCGACGGATAGCATGACGGAAGGCTTTTGGAAACTTGGCCCTACCACCACGACCCTGGGATCTACAAGGGCCCTTGGACCGTCCAAAAACGACTCGGGATGAAAAGCTGGCCCAGGGGAAGCGGTCCACGCTGTAGAACAAGCCACGTTTGAGGTCTGGGTCATCCTCTTGCCCTCTATCTCCTCCAATACCTTCGCTGCCAGGAAGGCGCTTGACCATGCCATGCGCAAGCCACACCGTGCGGCACGAGCGGGGACCTGCAATCCAAACGAGCTCTGAGGACGGGCTGTCTGAGAAGCCTGGCGTGACAACGCAACAATATTAGGAGTTCGATCCACGCATCCCTCAGGAGACTCGGCCCTTTCTCCCTGACTGGGTCTTCATCCAGCACGAGCGGGGAAGGGGGCGGGAGGAGGAGGCGCAGCAACGGGAGGGGCACGAAAGGCCACCTGCAGGAGGAGCAGGAGCCGCAGGAAGAGGGGAAGAATGAGGGGGCCCAGGGACACACCAAGAAATACAGTCAACCAGGATAGTAAGGATGCGCGATAAGGATGCAAGGGCCTTGGAAGGCCACGTCGAAACTTTTCGAGCGGGGCGCGGCCAACGAAACTGGCCAAGGATGGACCGAGGAGGCAAGGATGCAAGGGTACCCTTGGGAAGGCTGCCCATCCATACTATGCGGGTTGACTGTAGACACAACTCCCAGGATTCCCCCTATGTTCCATGTCTTCTGGATGTTGATCTTCCCCGCCACTTCCCCACATTCGCCACATGTTCAATGGAACCGACGACTATGTGCATATGTGTGTCTCTCCCCTGCTGCAATAAGAGAGGGCGGGAGGAGGAGGAGGAGGAGGAGGAGGAGGAAGAGGAGGAGGAGGAGGAGGAGGAGGAGTGGAGTGGAGCAATCGGACGTAGTCCGTTCGGAACCCAGAGATGCCAGGGGGGCCATCCAGTTTTTCTCGGAGGGCCGTGGGGGGCGACATCCCACGGCCCACCGCGACAGGCCCCCCTGGCCTCGCAATTTACTCAGAGGCAGCTCCCGCCGCGTAGGAACCGATCGCGGCTTCGGCTGCCGAAACATGCAAGGCTTCTAGCACAGACTTGCTGGGACCCGTTCTGGACGGGTGGAGGCCTCGCTTGATCCTGCTGAGGTTCTCGAGGCCTTTGCCAGTGGGTCCCATGGCCCTGCGCTCTCCGACTTGGTGGGAGAGAGGGCACGGCAAAATAAGGCTTTTAACTTGGTGCGTGGCAGTGTGGCCGCACTTAACACAGAAAAACAATTGCCACTTGGGGATGGTGGCCAAGGTGTGGGAGGGGTGGATCAACTTGCCACTGATCACACGGGGTCCCCTCGACCACAGCACTTCACCACATGCGGCGAACTCGGGGAGGGGGCTAGGCGGTACACATTCAGTGGCGGCAGCAGGAATAACATGGCAAGCATCAACGATGATGAGGCAGGCAGGGCATCTCCATTTGTCTGCACAGCGCTCGAATTTGTGCTGAGAAGCCGCGATCGCGGTCTGCAACTGCGAGCGCGGGGCAGCCTCCTGGTGGGGTTGCCTCTCTGGCCACTGCCCTCGGGGGTCCGAATTCTTGCCTAAGGTACGTAGAATCAGTCGCCCTCTCTGTCGGACGATGGCAGCGATAGCGTCGTATTCATCGGTCCTGGGGACGGGCGGGAGGGCGAGGGTGGCCGACTTGTGGGCCGCTCTTCCCGCAAGCTCGTCGGCATGCTGGTTGCCGAGAGCCAGAAATTTTTGGAAGCCATGCAGCGTGAGGGGATCGGCGTGAGATGGGGTCCAGAGCACCGTGACAGAGGCGCCGCCGCCAGATCGATCTTGCACGAGGTGCCGAATTCTCAGCCAGAGATCTCCATTCTTATTCTTGCCACTGAGGCTGCCAGGTCCGAGACATCTGCCATTCTGCCAGCCGCGCTGCAGGGCTAGATGGTCGGTAACAAACGTAAACTCCTGGTGGCACGTCTCCAGTGCCAAGCAAAACGCATGCAATTCACCTCTTGGGACAGTCTGGCGGGGGCCTGGGAGGGGGGCGAGGAGGCCCGCGTGGAGGGTCCAGGAGGCCGAGGGAGGGTCCCATCGGAGGGCCGCGAGGCCAGAACCAACACGGCGTCGCCTGACGTCGTCGGAAAATGCGCCTCCAGACCCGTCGCCGAAAAGAAATAACTCGCCCTCAGCGTTACGAGCTTCTTCCCATGACGGCAACCCCCCCCCGCGCCATAACAAACTCCCAACCGTCCCTCCCAGTCAATGGCTCGAACGCGGGCGTAGTGAGAGCGACAGAGGGGATGCCACGGAGCCAAAGGGCAGGGTCGGCATTGGCACCCGCCACGGCTCGCGGTAGTAGTTTGTCGCTGGCCTCAAAATCAGGTCCCACATTCGCCTCGCACTGCCACATTCGGTGAAACAAGGTCTCAGGTACTCCTGCACTGCAACGGTCACAGTTCTTGTCGATCTGGTAGCCCGCGTTGTAGAGGCGGTCCCTGGTCCATTGTCCACCACTGATGACGGTGTTGTTGAGGGCCCAATCGCTGAAATCTCCGTTTGCGAGGAACCTCCTTTGTTCGATGCGTATGGTGACCATGTCCGCGCCTCCAGCCAGCGTGTCACCATGGTCATGCGTAGCGGCCTGCGTCCAGAGGAGCCTGTGCAAATCCTCGCTGAGGTCCTGCAATACTGCGTGGATGTCGGCGTCGAGGAGATCAGGGTCATCGGCGGGGGGAAGGTTCCACTCCTCGATGTAGCCGTCCTTCGTGCGTCTCCACGTAGTAGCTGTAGTCGGGTCCCAGCTGGCCTCCAGCAAGGTCGCGATGGCCGCGCCTGTGGGCCCTTTGACCCTGCACCACAGCTTGGGGCCCGCGGCTAGCAGGGTGGTCTTGATCCTTGGCCATGCTCTGATAATCCTGGCGTGCGTGCTCGGGTGCCGTATCCAATGCTGCAGCCACGCCTCGATGAATTCGATCCTGAGGGAAACTCCTGGGTCCATGCCGTCGAAGGTGGCGCCCAGGAGAGAGGTGAGGCATCGGCCCGCTGCTGCTCCCGCGGCTGCAATAGCGGCCTGACGCCGCCATCGTAGTAGAGCGTGCCGAGCGAGACCGTGCACTTGATGACCGAGTACCCCTTCGGGGAGAGCTCCAGTACGCCAGAGTCCTGCTGAGATTCGAGCCTGCAGGGCAGTACTCCGTAGTCGGTGTATCTTACGAAACCTAGCTGCGGCTGAGCTCTGTCGCTTCCTGGCTTTGGCTTGTACCCGTCGCGTAGCCGCGGCCGCGTCAACTCCGAGGTCGACGGCCGCGGCGGTCGCAGTGACTGGGATGTCGTACAGCCGCAACTTCTTAGCTAGCAGCTTGCGGACCTTGGGTGTGGAGCCAATGAGGACCGTCTTGTCAGAGATGGGCAGCTCGAACTCCTTCAGACCGTCGCAGAGCGTCTTAGCTGCGCTGGGGAGGTGCTTCAGCAGTGTGCGTAGGACTCCTTCGGCTCGAAGGACGGTGTCGTCAACAAAGGTCCACATCTGGGCTAGCTCTGCCTGAGCTTGGGCTTGCCGTAGAATAGGAAGTAAAATAAGTCTTGCCAGGGTCGTGCCGTGCGGGGAGCCTGCGATGATGCCTTTGTAGGCGAAGATAGGCATACTCACCCATTGTCTACTGCGCAAGAATCTGGGCGCCAGGTATAGCTGTACTTCCAGTAGAAGAATGATGGGGGGGAATCCGCAGTTGAGGCCAACCATGATGAGGTTGGCCAGCTTGATATTGTCGTAGAACTTCTGGATGTCTAATAGCAATGTGGCTGACTGTACGCCAAGTGCTGAGGCTGTCTCGTCTAATAAGGCTCTATGTAGAGCTGCCTGGAGAGCTGAGGAGCCTTTGATGGCTGTAGTCCAGAAGTCGTCCAGGCCTTGGGTCCAGGATGTTGACGCAGTCGATCTGATGCGAGACCAGAGTCTGGCCATGTGCGGTAGCATGCCGAGGACCCTGTCACCTCCAGACTTCTTGGCTGCGAGGGCTGCTATAGTGCCTGAGATTTGTAGTGGCCAGATGCCTGCATGCTCAACTGCGTTGAGGATGTCCGCATAGGCTTCGACTGCTGGTTCTGGTAGTCGATGGAGGTCGCGAGGTCCAAGGGCGTCAACTCCATGAGCTTTGCTGGGTGGCATGCGGCCGTGGAAACGGTGTACTATTTCGGCTGTGATGGGCTCGAGTGGTTGTCGGGCGGCTGCTGCCTTTGCCAGTGTCAACGCCTGTAGGATGTCGGGGGTCTCGGTGGCCTGCCATACTTGATGCCATTGTTGCTTCTTGCTGTCCATGATAACGGTGGGGTCGGCTATGGTCTGGTTGGTCGTATAGGCCTCAATGTGGCGTGCGGGCGCGGGCTTGACATGGGCATGTAGTACTCCAGGGCGGTGTTTCCATTGCTTGGCGAGCCAAGCTCCGTAAGCCCTCTTAGACTTGGCGAGGGCTGCGGAGAGCGCTCTGGAGGCCCAAGTGGCGGTAATAGTGACCAGGTCGTCGGTGTCCTCTTTGTCCAACTGCGGGGCCCAGACAAGAGCGAACCAGCGGAGGAGGAGGAGGAGGAGGAGGAGGAGGGGGGGGCGAGGGGAGCGGAAGGAGCAGGAGGAGCAACAGGGTGAGCAACAGAGACCGGGGGTCAAAGCGATCACGAAGAGGAGGGAGGACAGCATCCCCCCTCGGAGGCCAGGGGAGCCTCACCCCGAGAAGAATCGGTCACGAGGGGGGGGGGGGGGGGGAAACAATCCCGCTCGAAATCGGCCCCCGGACCCCTCTGTGAAGTCCTCCGCCCCAGGCACAGTTTGGGGGGCGGCAGCCGCCACAGAGCCCCAGCCCCGCCGACTCCAACCCCCCCCCCCCCTTCGGGGCGCCGGCGCGCCCAGGAGGGCATCCACAGGAGGAGGGAGGAGGAGCAGCCCAACCCCAGGACAGGGAAGAGCGCGAGCAGGGAGCAGGGAGGAGCGGCGGGAGGCCGAAGGGGGCAGAAGGACCACGGACAGGAGGCACGACAGAGTAGGACAGACACAGGCGCTGTTGTTGGAGGTCCGCGCCCCCCTCCCTGGCGCTAGGCCCCTCTGGCGCGGCGCCGGAGGCGCCGCCAAAGGGGCCCAACGCCGATCCAAGACATCTGCGCGGACCGTCGAAAGCTCATGTTTATTGAAGGAGCCCTGGGACACACAAATAAGTACACACAAATCAAAAGATTCCCAATATTTTCCCATATTTTCGGGGTGTTTGATTTCCCCCCCACTTCCCATATTTTCCCATAGTTTCCGGGGAATGGACGATGAATTGTGTCCGTGTGTGTGTGTGTGTGTGTGTGGTCTCCCCTCCTGATTTCTGAAGATCGCCGTCCTTCAGGAACTGAGAAGATTAGTTCCCCCCCACTCCCATGGACCAGGCTTTCCGCCAGCGCAAGGGGAGAACCAGGCAGTGATGGGCGAAGTCAGTATACAACCTCGATCATGCGGGCATCTGAAGCTTTTTGTGATCACCCCCTTTGTCCGACCCCCCTCTCCTCCTCCTAGAGAGGCGCCGGCCCCGGCAACTTTTCCCTGGCAACTGTTTCATTACGTTTCCTGCCCATGCGTCCTTCATGGATGTACGGTTATCTTGTCTTGCCCCGCCCGCGGCAGGGAGGGAGGGAAGGAGGGAGGGAGGGAGGGAGGGAGGGAGGAGGGAGGAGGAGAGGAGGAGGAAGAGGAGGAAGAAGAGGGGAAGAGGACGAGGAGGAGGAGGAGAGAGGAGGAGGAGGAGGAGAGGAGGAGGAGAATGAGGAGGAGGAGGAGGAGAATGAGGAGGAGGAGGAGGAGGAGGAGGAGGGGAGGAGGAGGAGGGGAGAGGGGGAGGGGGAGGGGGAGGGGAGGGGGAGGGGGGGAGGGGGGAGGGAGGAGGGGGAGGGGGAGGGAGGAGGAGGAGGAGGTGGAGGAGGAGGGGGGAGGAGGAGGGGAGGAGGAGGAGGAGGAGGAGGAGAGGAGGAGGAGGAGGAGGAGGAGGGGAGGAGGAGGAGGAGGAGGTGAGGAGGAGGAAGAGGGGGTGGGGGAGGGGGAGGGGAGGGGGAGGGGGATGGGGGAGGGGGGAGGGGGAGGGGAGAGGGGAGGAGGAGGAGGGGAGAAGGAGGGGGGAGGGGTTGGAGGGGAGGAGGAGGAGGAGGAGGAGGAGGAGGAGGGGAGGAGGAGGAGGAGAGGAGGAGGAGGAGGAGGCGGGAGGAGGAGGAGGAGGAGGAGGGGGAGGGGGAGGGGGGAGGGGGAGGAGGAGGAGGGAGGGGAGGAGGAACGCGCGGAGCGGACGCACAGGCCCAGGAAGCCGGACCCTCCAACGGGCCCCGGACGCCCCGCCTCGGGAGCACCCGCCCGCAGCGGCCAGCGCGACCACCGCCGCGGGCCAGCCGGCGCCCCGCCGGCGCCCCGCGCCTCTGCCTGGAGGGGAGCGGGGGCAGGCGCTCGCCGGATCGGGGGGCGGCGCCAGGGCAAGTGGCAAGGTGGGGGGATGCCCCACTGCAGGAGGAGGAGGAGGAGGAGGAGGAGGAGGAGGAGGAGGGCGGGCGCCACGGCAAGTGGCAAGGTAGGGGGAGTGCCCCTCTGCAGGAGGAGTGTTCTCCAGAGCAGTCCGCCCCCAACAAAGAGAGCTCCCAGGGGGGGCCCCAGAGGAGGCCCCCAGGAGTCCCCCCCAAGGGTGCCAAGAGAGGCTCCAAGAGGCGCCCAAACGGCCCCCTCCTCCTCCTCCTCCCTCCTCCTCCTCTCCTCCTCCTCCTCCTCCTGATCTGTCCTTCTCCTCACTCCTCCTTCTCCTCCTCCTCCTCCTTATCCTGTCATCCTCCTGCTTCTTCTCCTCTCCCTCCTCCTCTCCTCCTCTCCTCTCCTCTCCCTCCTCCTCTTCCTCCTCCCCTTGCTCCCACTCCTGTTGCTCCTGCTCTGCCTCCTCCTCCTCCTCCTCCTCCTCCTCCTCCTCCTCCTCCTCCTGCTCCTTCTCCCCCTCGTTTTCATGTTCGTCGTCTTCAGGGTCGGCGGCATCGGCCGTAAGGCCTTCGCAACATGCCAAAATAGTCCAAAAGTAGTATGGGGACGATTTTTCGACTATTCTTTTGTTGCCCGTGTTTGAAGATTTGTGAGCAATCTATTATTTTGTTGCCCGTGTTTGAAGATGTTTGAGCAATCTATATGTTTCGTCTAAAATCTGCCTGTAGGGGGACATGCCCGACATAAGGCCAGTGGGGGCAGGAGAGGAGGCCGACCGGACAACCCCTCCCTGGGCCCCCTCGCGTCGGGGAAGAGAGAAGAGACGAGACGCGTTTGTCGGTGGCGGGCGAGGGAGGGAAGGGAGAGGGAGAAGGCCTTCTCGGATGGCGGCGGGTACTCTCAGAAGACCTCGCGCCCTCTGAGCAACCTTCTGTGCCTTTGGGGAAGGTTCAGAGCACCTCTCAGAAGGCCGGGGACTTCCATAGAAGAAGAAGAAGAAGACGAACAAATGCATAAACGTCATATTTTGGCGCTCCAAGCAGACTTCTTAGATCTACGCTAGACCCCCCCAGGGGCGACGCTGGAGGCGCCGCGGGGGGGGGGAGGGGCAGCGCAGCGCCAAAAGTTTATGTTCCCGTCCTTGCTGCTTCTTCTTCGAGTCCGAGCCTTCCGAGGAGGCCTCCCACTTCTCACTTCCCCCCCTCGCTCGCCGCCGCCAGAGGCGTCTCGTCTGTTCTCTTCTCCCCGGCGCGAGGGGGCACAGGGAGGAGTCGTCCAGTCTGCGGCGACGACAGGGGCGAAGAGGTCGATGGGGGGGACACGACACGCCTCCGCTGGGGAGCCTCGCCGAGGACATGGATCATCGGCGCCCCTGGACACACTCATTGCCCTCCCCTGGGCTATTCGCCCCATCTCGAAGGAGAAAGAACGCCATACGCATCAACGTTTGGCGCTCCGCGCGAAGCGCCAAAAGTGTACGCGTATGCGGTTGTCTGTTCTTCTTCTTCTTCTTCTTCTTCTTCCATCGTCGCCCCCGTAAGGAACCGAACTTTCTACACCGAAACTTTTTTCTGGTCACGCACTGAGATTTGCACAAGAGAATTGATTATGGTGTATACGGCATCCTGGTGTATACATTTTCTGTTGTTCCCCCCGGAAAACGGGGAGAAACGCATACACCACACCACCCCGACGTCGCCCCCGACCCTCCAAGGAGTCCTGGGATTGAGAAACCGCCCGCCACTGGTAATGTATATGCTCCAGTTTCCGACCCCGATCCAAGGTCGGGGATCTTCTGACCCGGGTCAATCCAGACCCGGGTCAGCAGGAAACCAAAAACTGCAATGCAGGAAAGAAAAGAAACTGCAACGCAGGTCTTCGCAGACCCGGGCCAGCCAATATATGTGCGGCCGCCTATCGCGGCCACGAGCGGCTCCCTAAACCCGGGTCGGCCAGAGGGGGTCTTCGCAGGATGCTGCAGAATCTGGCGCCCTGGCTGACCCCCGTCTGCATTGACCCCCGTCTCTCGGGGATGGACAGACCTCCCTTTAATAAAACGTGGTTTAGTGAAAACGACCTGAGGCCCAAACCCGGCGGGCACAAGCCCGGAAAATAACGGCCACGGCGCCCTCTCGAGAACCGAAAACGGACAATTCACTAATCGACGTGTCACTATTGGGGGTTCTGTCCACCCCCGAGTCTCAAGGCTCCTGACAAGGCATCGCACGCCAGGCGCCGGCGTCGGCACGCTCCGCCCCCGGGGCCTCCCGCGGGGGATCCCAAAGGGGAGCCGCGTCGCGGAGCCCCCGCGCGCCCCCGCGAAGGGCCGGCCCCTCCGGGGGGGGGGGGGAGGGCGCGGGTCGGTGGGGACGCTCGGGGGGGCCACTCCGCGAGGCGAGGCCGCAGCAGAGTCTCCACCACCACCACCAGAAGCAGGAGGGGGAGGGGGTCCTCTCTTTCCTCCTTCTCTCCGTCCTCTGCCTACTGCCCTCGCCTTCCTCCTCTGCCTCCTCCTTCCTCCCTCTCCTCCTCCTCACCTCCTCCTCCTCCTCCTCCTCCTCCTCCTCCTCCTCCTCCTCCTCTACTCCTCCTCCTCCTCCTCCTCTCCTCCTCCTATCCTCCTCAGCTCGTCCTCCTCTCTACTCTCTCCTCCTCCTCACCTCCTCCTCTTCCTCCCTTCCTCCTCCCTCCTCCTCTCATCCTTCTTCTTCTGTGCCTCCTTCCTCCGCTACCGAATCTTATAAGGTTAATTGTGCTGTGGGCGGTCTGAACCATTACAGGTGGACCCTGCAATTCATGAGGGCCCCAAGAAAGATAATTAATCGATTCTCCTTGGATGTTTGACGTATTTGTGAGTTCTCACCTTTTCGTGTGGCTTACAGCTAGCGTGTCTCAAAGCTCTACTGCTATCTCGGCTGTCAGCTGGAAGGGCCATGGGAATCACTCAGAGTCTCTAGCCCGTACTCGCAGCTGTGCTGGCTCTACGGCAGATCGACTCTGGGAGGACCTTCCAGCTCGCCAGCAGCTTTCTGCTTCTCATAACAAGGGATACGTCGACCCCTATCCCAGGCTTCGTGGGGTTTCCGAATGGACCAGAAATTTGGGGCCCAACCCTGGGATATACGATGGGGGGGTGCCCATCCTCGATAGGGGTGCGTCCGAATAGCCCCCTTGGGGTGTATCCCAGGGTTTTTCCATTTTTCTGAGCGGCCAAACTTTTTGGGCGAAACTCGGGGATTGGGGGAGAAACATCGCCTGCGATCTCACTCCCTGGAGAACCTTCCAGCTCGTGAGCCTGGTGTACCCTCTCGACTCTGTCTTCCGCGTCCACGGGCGTCGACTCGCGTCTGGGAGGCGATGAGAAAACGCCGAGTTAGCGTCAGTCAGCGTCGACTAACTTACTAGCGTCGATTGACGTAGATTTAGCGTCGACTAGCGTCGATTCGCAAGAGCCGGCAAGATGGTATGGGAGGCTGGCATGAGTTGCCACCTAAAGGGCGACGGGGGTGATGCGTTCCCGAAAAGGACGCCAGCGAAAGGGACTTCTGATACCGCGGCGTTGCATCTGAGACTTCGAAGCGCGAGCGAGAGCGTCGTGAGACGACCTTGCGGGTCGAGCCGAGCGGACTCGAGACATCGGCGTCGCCCGTCTCAAAAGTCCCTTTTCCCTGGGGTCCCGTTTAGAACCACATGAGGGGCGAGAGAGAACAAACGGGGGCGCCGAACTCTACACACCGACACTCTTTCCGGCCCCACACTGAAATTCACAGGATAAAAGCTCCTGGTGTATACGGGATTCTGGTGTGTGTATATATACATATATGTATATACATATATATATATATATATATATATATATACATACACAAATACATATATATATATATATATACACATGTTTGGTTGTTTCCCTGGGCAACGGGGAAACAAGTACACACCACACCACCCCGACGTCGCCCCCGACCCCCAAGAAGTCCTGGGATTGAAAAACAGCCTCGCCAGACGAGGTCCTCCGAGGCTTCCACCTGGACCCGCTCGCGGCGTCGGCGGAGGAGGAACACATGAGATCCAGCAGGGAGGGAGGAGCGGGAGTGGAGGAGAGGAGGGGGGATGGGTGAGGAGGAGCGGGGACGAGGGCGGGGGCAGGAGGACCCAGCTCGCACATCACCAGGGTGCCTCATGAAGGCACTGTGGCGATGCAAAGGGCGTGCCGGCCGAAGCCGCGGGGGCAGGGTGACGGCGGCCAGGGAACCGCCGTCTCACCCAAGAGATCTAAACAGGAGTGCGGGAGTAGGCATGGGGGATGGAAGGGAGAAACAGGAGCGAGAGTGTGGTGAGTAGCCCGTGCCCCCAATGACCCTCGTGCTTACACATCGGGTTCTTACTCCTGTTCTACACCCTGCGAAATGCTTAAGAAATCATGGGTTAAGAAATTCATAGTCTCAGAACTTGAATAAAAACCCAACATTTCTATTAAAATCTTAGGGTTTTCATCGAAGCATTAAGAATCATCGAGACTCTGGCCGAAAACTTACGTTTTCTTAAGCATCGCCTAAGGTGTAGAGGCACTGGGCCGTGCCTGTCTGGCGGCTATGCAGAAGCCGCCGCAGCCCCGTTGCCGCCTCGTCGCCGCCCGTCGCCTGGGCGGGCCTGTCTGTCGGTCTGGCGGCTGTGTGGCTTTGCAAAAAAAACGGGATTGTTTGCAATCCTTTGCAGCAAAAACCGAAGGGTTTTTTTGCAATCCTTTGCTATGTGGCTTTGCAAAAAAAAACGACGGTTTTTTTTTGCAATCCTTCGGTTGTTTTGCAATCCTTGGTTTTTTTGCAATCCGTCGCCGCTCCGCCTCGGCCTCGCCGCCGCCTCGCCGCCTGGGCCTGCCCGTCGGTCTGGCGGCCACGTCACCGCTTCGGCGCCGACCGGTCGCCGCGCTTCGTCGCCGCCCGGTCACCGCCTCGTCGCCGCC